AATTAATTCCTCTCATCTTTTAGATGGGTATCCTTATATCCTCCAATTTACCTTTCTCCTCTTTCTATCTTTGATTACTGAGATCTTGTCCCCCACAATGTATGCCAATAATGTTCACACATCCCCAATCCTAAAGGGGATCACCATTCAATGGCTTGATCAAGACGTGGGACTCACCCCACATACTCCTCCTCTTGTTTTGCTTCTGTTAATTGTTTGTATAGTGTTATGGTTAATTTTGTACTTTTGGGCATTGGTATGTATATTTCTTAAGTTGGAGCCTTATGAGTCCCCTTCCTCCACCCTCATGCTTAAAAAGGCCTGGGTTTGAAGGGAACTGCATACTATACATGAGATAAACTTTGAAGTCTCTTCTAAGCATTTTTTATTTAGAGTTTAATTATTTCAAACATGGACAAAATTAAGATTATCTCTTTATATGTAAAAGGACATGGATTCCCCCCCTCAAATAATTACCCAGGTTAATAATTATTTGAAAAAACTTAAACCAAGCATTGTTGTTGTTGTTTTTACAAGAAATGCATAGAAAGGGCGTGGGAAACATTCTATCATGATCCCCCTTTGACTTACAAATGCAATTGGAAATTCTAACAAATCCAGAGGGGTTGCGATATTGTTTGATAAAGCATATCCTTTTCAGGTTGACAAAGTAATCCAGGACTCTTCGGGTTGTTAGTTGATATTGAAAGGTATCCTGGCCAATGAAATCTTCACACTGGCCACATATTACTCCTCAAAGAATGACAAACTCACCTTTCTGGTTTCTTTCCTACAAACCTTAGGGGTGATTGCAGAAGGCAATATTATTATAGCAGGTGATGCAAACAAGGTCCTAGATTACACACTAGACAAATCACATCCCCCTCAGAAAGATGAAAAATAAAACATCACCACTATCTGACATATTAACTACACATGGATTTATAGACCCCTGGAGATCTCTACATCCATCCTGTAGAGACTACACTTTTTTTTTCAAACACACACCACACCTATTCTAGAATAGATGGTGATGGTGATGATGATGATGATGATGATTGTTTATGTTTATTTATATCCCATCTTCCTCCCAATAAAAGGACTCAAGGTGGCTAACAAATCTAAAACAGTGCAAATTAAAACAGTAGAAAACATTAAAAATACAAAGTTTAAAAAACAATTAAACAATTCAAACAATTAAAAACATTACATTATTAAAAGTTTAAAGTTTAAAACTGTTTAAAGCAAAAACAAAAACAGCATCCATGTCGTGTGAAGGCCTGGTGGCATAAAAATGTCTTTCTCTGCTGCTGGAAAGACAGAAAGGATGGAGCCATCCTGGCCTCCCTGGGGGGGGAGTTCCACAGCTTGGGAGCAGCCACTGAGAAGGCCCTTTCTCTTGTTCCCACCAAATGCACCTGAGAGAGTAGTGGGACAGAGAGAAGGGCCTCTCCAGATGACCTCAATACTCTGGGGGGCTCATACAGCAAGATACAGTCCTTCAAATAGCCTTACTATTGTATATAGCTTTATAGGACAAAGTTGTATAGAGCTTTATAGGACAAAGCCAGTACTTTGAATTGTGCCAGGAAATGGACTGGCAGCCAATGGAGCTGTTGCAACAGGGGAGTTGTATGTTCTCTGTAACCAGCTCCAGTTAACAGCTTGGCTGAAGCCCTTTGGACCAGCTCAAGTTTCTGAGCACTTTTCAAAGGCAGCCCCACATAGAGTGCATTACAGTAATCCAAACAGGATGTAACCAAGGCATGTACCACCATGGCCAGATTTGACTTCTCCAGGAATGGGTGCAGTTGGCACACACGTTTTGGTTGTGCAAATGCACTCCTGGTCATCACTGATACTTAGGCTTCCAGGCTCAGCACTGAATCCAGAAGTACCTCCAAACTACAAACCTGAGTTTTCATGGGGAGTGTAACCCCATCTAACACAGGCTGAATCCCTATTCCCAGATCTCTTTTTTGACTGACTCTGTCTTGTCTGGATTAAGCTTCAATCTGTCTATCCTCATCCAGTCCATTACAGCACCCAGACACCAGTTTAAGACAGAAACAGCTTCCTTGGAATTAGGTGGTAAGGAGTGATAGAGCTGGATATCATCAGTGAAACCTGTGGAGAGAAGGCAGGATAGAACATGCTTTAGCAAAAGCCAATAAAATGTGAGCTGGCAGCAACCAATCAGATGGAGGAGTTAAATAAGACCATTGCTGACAGTTGAAGTCAGACTGGGTCTGTAAGTGTAACAGTCCAGAAGAAAGGGACTGTGAGGACTATAGTTCAGAAGGGCTCTATGACAGAATTCCAAGTGAGGAAGTTTCTGGGATTTAGGGGGGTTGCAGACTGCCAAAAAGAGTGCAAATTGAGTCCACTTTTAGGGTTAGGGTTAGGGTTAGGGAATCATGGGAACTGTATTTTATTGTGGCACCAGAGCTCTCTGACAGAGAAGGATCAATGTCTCAGAAAAAAAAAACAATTCCCATGATTCCCTAGCACTAACCCTAACCCTAAAAGTGGACTCAATTTGCACTTTTTCTGGCAGTCTGCAACCCCCCTTTGTTAGTCTGAGGGCTAGTGAAGAAATAAGGTTGGAAAGACCACAGTAAATAAGGACAGTGTGAGGGTCCTAAAAGAGAATATCTGGTGTTTTCTAAAGTTAAGGATTGTGTAACAAAGTATAACAAGAACAACTGAATGTAACATCATAACTGAATGCAACATTGTAATGAATGCAACATTATTAATCATCATCCAAATAAAGTTACATTTTTGTTTTCATACAAGCTTGTCTGAACCTGGATTGGATATCCACGCTACTAACAAAGAAACCAAGTTTGGGGAGTAAATCCATAGATACAAATAAAAGTGGTTAGGCACATCACATGTTGGGGCAGTGGTGGGATAACAATACCCATTGGGCTGCCACATCAAGAAAAGTAAGTGGTGCTTGTGACAAATTGGTGGCAGTGGTGGGATGTTAAAATGAGTGTTTTACTAAAACTGTTTTATTTGTTTCAAATGTTACCAATTATTTCAGCAAAGAACCTTTTAAAATATGGAATAAGGATATCACAAAATTTATCTGGCAGGGGGAAAAACCAAGAGTAAAATTAAAAATTTTACAAGATGCACAAGAGAGGGGAGGACTATCTTTACCTAATCTAGAGTTTTATTTTGATGTGTGTGGACTGATTTGGATCAAAGAATGGATCAAATTAGAGAACAAAAGGATGCTTGAATTGGAAGGAGAAGGATTAGTTTTTGGATATCATGCGTATCTACTATATGAGAAAGAGAAAAGTAATCAATTTTTTAATAATTACTGTATAAGAAAAGCACTTAAAATTTGGAAAAAACATAAAAGTAGAATTATTCAAAATATACCTATATGGGCCTCACCTCAAGAAGCCTTCTACAGAAGGGAAAGACACACATCCCCGACACGTCAGGAGGGGTCTTCTGTTGCACCAGCCCATATAAGGATGCCAACGCCCGATTGGCTGGGGGGACAGGAAATCCCGCCCTTACTGGGCTGTCCAGCCAATCGGTTTTGGATCCCATGGCATACTAGTCACGTTGGGTAGTCTTGGGAGACTTTAGGTCTCGCGGGATTAGCCATGGGATTTCAGGGCTATTTAGACCTATGCTGCCATGTGGCGGCATTCATTTTAGTCCGACAGTCGAGCAACCCATCCCACCCACCCTTAATTAATAGTTGTACATATTATTTATGCTCAGGCTTAGGCTGGTCGCCTTTGGGGGCCGGGAGGGAATTTTCCCAGAGTTGCGTAATCTGGGTTTTTCACCCTCCCTAAGAATAATAACATAATGCTAATAATAATATCAATAA